AGTGTGCCCAAAGGTATCCCTGAGGAAAATTGGCTGGGATTGGCTACCAATATGGGTGCCTGAAAAGATACGGGCATTTGGGCCCATAAGGAGAAGATAGAAATGGGAAAAGAAAAGGGCAGCTAGCAATCCTTTGAAAAATAAAAGGGTTCTTTGAAAAGCAGAGTAATTGTTAACCTCTAACAATTAACAGAAGCATAGACAGAAAAGATCTTCCATTATCTCACAAAAGGAGTCTCAAAGCAGTAGACAGTAGGCAATTCCAGGGACAGCTGATTATTCAGTGATGTTATTCATGTGCATATCCAATGATACTCAAAGAGGGCCTCTTGGTGCCTCTGAAATCCTCCCAGTCTTTCTTCAGAGTCTCAAGCAGCCATAGCATAAGCGCCATTCCTCTCAGGAGAGATTCTGGATGAGGACAGACTCTCTCCCCATCTCTGTGGCTATTTATTAAGAAGGAAAGTATCTCCCAGAAGCCTCTGAGCCAACTTCCCCCATGCCAGAAGGTTATCCTGGCCACCCTCAACAACCAAGAAGTTGGCAAAATAAATGTCCATCAAATGGAATAATGATTACCACGGCTGGCATGGCATGATGCATCCATGCACTGAGTGTATCACAGGTCGATCAAATCCAGCACATCATTAAGAAAGACCACTGCAAGGATGACCAACAGGGTTCGCCATGCGCACTCTGAACAAAGCCACCTGCCTTCCACAGGATGATGCTTGGGCATGAACACGTTTCTCATGAAAGGCAGGCACTGATCCAGCAGCCTCAGAAGGAATGACTTTGCCCAAACTCCCTCTTCAGGATCGCAGGATATTCTGAGGTCCTGAGCTTAGCAAGAAGGTGGGCTTTCACCTCCCCAAGAGGAAGGAAAGAATGATACTGAACCACTAAGATTTATGATTCAGATTCACAAAGCAAGATGACAATGCTGTCTCCACTGAAATATACCTCTTGCTCCTCCAAGCAGTTTTAGGAATTGAAGAATACTGACTCAGTCCCTTCAACCAGGGCTATTTAACCCCTTTCTGCAGGTTCAAGTCCTATGTGTTATTTAATGTCTAACTCAATTTTAGCTTCCTTCATCCAGCTTTTCAACTATCACCAGCAAATGTGCATCCCACCAAACTATTTAATACATTGGCGTACATCTCTGTAACCCTATCACCAAATCCAGTTGATGTGACTTAAACTGTCTACCTCCTTCTCCATCACTGCTGATAATAACTGCCATTTACTGGGTATGTGCTACATGCAAGGCATTATCCTATGAACTTCACAATTATTAATTCCCTTAAACCCCTCAAGAACCTATGAGGTAGACTATAGTAATTATTTTACAAACTTGGAAATAAAAATATTAAGTAAACTGATCGATTCACATAGGTAGTAAGTGATACAGGCACTCGAGTTCATAGCTTAACTGACACACTACCCAGCCTCTCTTCAAAACCACATCCCATTTTTCCAGAAGGACTGCAACAAGTCCTGTCTGATCCCCTTGCTTGCACTCAACTTCTCTCCAATGCATTTTTTATCCTGAAGCTAGAATTATCTTTTAAAATTGCAAAATTTGATCACAGACGAATCCCTCCCTGCCCCACTCCCTATGCCCCCCAAGATCTTGCCCTGCCTACCTTTCCTGCCTTATCTTGTGTTTTCCTTTTCCAGTAGCTTTGGACGCAAACCACCAGATGTTTTCATTCTCTCCTACCCTAGGGCCTTTCCCGCCTTCCCTACCTCCAATCCAGCCTGCCTTATCTATTTAACTTCTTCTTCAAATCAAAATTTCAATGTCAGTTCAGCCTCAGGAAAGCCTTCTCTCCACCTCTAGATGAGTTGAAGCTCTGACAGATCATAGCAGATTCTGTTAATGTATCACCAGATCATCCTCCTCCCAAGAGCAGGGCATGGGTTGCATGCTTTGTTCAACAATGTCTCTCCAGCAATGAGCCCAGTCTTTGGTCCAGGAATCAGTCCCCTTTTATTAGAGGTACAAGTCTCAGCTCCCTTGCTTAAAAGGGCGAGTTCTTTGAGGTCAGGAACTGTGCCTCAGGGAGGTGGCCTGCTCTAGAGAAGAGAACGTGGGCTTTGGCCATGTTAATTCAAAATCCAGCTACACCACCATCTCTGAATGCATGCTTTTTCAAGTCTCAACTTCCCAGAATAAGTGGGAATAATGACACTGTCATGAACACACTGATACTGAATATCATGTGTGGGCATACCTGGCAGATGCTCTTTACTTCTTTCCTCCCAGATCCATCAGTGGGTCAAGGACATGAGCAGGGAGTCTGCACAGCTGAGGTCCAGTACCTCCCCCCACTCCCCACATAGGGTATCCCAGGCCATGGCTTCCTTCTCCACTTGTTGGACTGCACGGGTGCCACCATGTGGAAATATACAAAACACTACAGTGAGCAAAAGTTAAGGATTTGCTGGGGGCAGAGGGAAGGAAAAGGACAGAATGAACAGGGTACATGTTAAGTATACACTAAGTGTGAGACATTTTTTATCATTATTTCATTTAATACACAGCAGAAGAAAATTTGATTCTCTTCTTCACTCTTGCTTCTGGGTAAGTGTGCCTTAAAAGAACGAAAGCATCTTTATATATCTTTAAAGTCAAGCTGACCCTTTTTGTATATGGGAAGAATCAGGTAATTTAGTAACATTTGAGCACAGAGTGTCTCAAAATTAAGTAAATATCTGCAAATGAAATAACATTTGCTGGAGTCTTTCTTTTAAAAGCTACATGGCACTTGAATAGAAAAACTAACTCTGAATTTAAAATGCCTGATACTAAAATGTTGACTGGATAATTTTTTTAATTAGCCTAGTTTTGGGTGAGCTTTAGTTAATGAATTAAAAGTAGTTAATCATTATCATTCTCTGGGACTGAGTAAACTTACACGAAATGAGGGATGAGGTTTAGACGGGAGAGTGAGAAGGCAGAGGCAGTCATGTCGCCTCCCTCTGAGATGCTACCCAAGACCCAGGCTTGACATGGAGAACTGCGCTCCCAAGATCTCATACGACTGGTTCCACCATGCGGTCTATATACTGTGGTTACTCCAAAATGTAATCCACGCACCACCTGTGTCTGACTCTCCTGGGGCCTTTGTTGAATGCCACTTCTGGGGGCTGATCACAGATTCAGCTTCTCTGAGGACCGATGCCCAGCAACCTGCATTTTAACAAGCACCGCTAGATGTTTCTGATTCATCCCAAGATTTGAGAACAGCTTTAGAAGCTCGGTAAAACTGTGATTCTGCATATTTATTTATTTCATAGGAATATAATTGCCTGTAAGAACCTTGAAATTTTTTAAATGAATAAGATATTCATCCCAGCAACTCTAAAGGCCAAGGCATTCCCACTTTCAAAATGGGGGAAATCAAGTCTTGAAATACTGCATATATGACACACCCGCCCTTGAAACTGTTATCAATTCACTGATTAGGGCGTTTTATACCACAGATCTAAGCCGCTTGAGTAACTAACTCACCTTTCTATTCAATTCCTAGATAATTGTCTTTTGTGGGGGAATGGCATTTTTCTAAATTTATAAATTCAGTATGATCCTTAGTTAGGAATAGATTCCCTGACTCAACTACTAATTGTATGTTCCGGACATTCTTTTATTCTTCTTCTGTACAACCCCCAGAGAAGGTAATTTTTTATATAAATTACTTCCTTTCTTACTACTCTCCACTGGTGAAAGAGAGTCCTCAAACCCACTCTCTTGCCTGCTATCCTACCAGTTAATATTATGGATACAGGAAATGAACTTTTAAAAAGAAATCTAAGAGTTGAAGAGTTCCTTGTGATTAAGCAACACCCCTCCTCTTTCCCCAGTTTGGCAATTCCTTGGCTTCTTGGGACTTGCCCCAAGCCCCAGGGGACCCTGAAACTTGAGAGTCAAGTACACACAGCAATAATTCATCAGTTTTAGGGTCTAGGGAGTCTCTCCATTTGGAGGAGCTCTGACTCTTCACCTTAGAAACACAAGAGAAACTTCCCTGAATATGCACGGAGAGGTTAGTTCTTAAGCACCATATAAAAACAGGGTTTAGTGATCCCCATACGTAAGAGTCACGATTCACAGCTGTCACTGACTCGGAAGCATTTTAAGGCAGAAATAGTATCTTCAAGCTGACAAGTCACAAATATGTGTATTTTTGCTAAGAAAACTGATAGTTGGGAAAAGGCTCAAAATAGTCCATCCCCATCTTTGTTTTTCCTTCCAAAAATGGATTGACTTTCACTTATCAAACTGGCCAGGCCACTGCCGGCAGATAGCATCATACATGGAACAGTAAGTATTAGGCATTGAGTTTCCCTGTCGTTTGTAGAAGTCCTAGTTTTGGAAAAGGAAGTGAAGAAGATACACTCACAGAAGACATTTTGAACCTTAAAATGGAATGCCTTGTTTTGATGCAAATGGCTGGGTGTGGGGGAAATAATTTTTCTTGGACTATCCTTTCTAGTATTACACGTTGTCTAGTCTGTATCATTGGTATATCCTCTGTTGAATGATAAGGTAGAAGAACAAAAATCAGTTCTTTGCTAAACACTGATCAAGTGCACCTTCCTCTGTTATTTCTTTCAGAATAAATTTTATCTAATTTATCATGAGCCTAGCCTATGTCAGGTACTGTGCCAGGCACTAGATACAAAATAAATGAAGCAAGGTTCTGGTTTATTAATGATCTCATAAGATTTGCTAGGGCATAGTCTCGACCCCCTTTCCCTCCGGGGCGGCTGTCTAAGCAATAGCGGATCTGAGTGCTCCGCGACTCCCAGCTTCTGGGGACATGTTCCCACCAGGTCAGCCCAGGAACCTAGCGCCAGGGTTCTCCTGGCGTTCCCCAAGGGCCACTCAAGTTCAACTCCGGAGCGGAACTCCAGACGCCGCAGCGCACCTAGCGAGATCCCTTCCACCTGTCCGCGCGCACGCAGGAGCGCCTGACCCCGCGCCCGCTTACTTTGCCGCTGTCGCTCACGCCGAGGAGGTGATCCTGCAGCACCTCCATGGGGGAGGTCCAGGTGGAGTGGACGAACGTCCCCCGGAAGATGTGCGCCAGGGACTGCATCGAGGCGACACACAAGTCAGCGGCGGGGCGCAGCGCGGGGTCGGCGGGCGGAGGAGGTCGCACGGGGCGGAGGCGCGGCGAGGGCTCCGTGCGGCCGGGAGGGCTGCAGAGTGGGCGCTTGTCCGGATGGTCCTGCCCCCGCTTTCCCGGGCTAACGCCTAACCCCGCAGGCCGCGCCCCGGGGCGGGTTCCCTGGCTCTTCCGCGCCAATAGGATTTTTCTGAGTCGTCTCTGCGCTCTGTTGGGTGTAGTCTTTCTCTCCTCCCCTACGGGAGTTCTTGGTATGTTAACTCTGAGTTGCCAAAATCCCGGCTCTCATCACAGCTCTTTCAACGCACAGTGGCTGAGTCACCCACCCAGGAGGGGCGGGAGATGAAGGAAGAAGCTGGAGGAGCCGCTGGGTCCAGCCCGGTACTTCTAATTGATCATTAAACTTGCTTTCGCTCCCTGCCGCCAAGCTCTTGCACCTGTCTCAAATTGGCACGCGTAGTGGTGATTCTACCTGCTTTCTCTGCCCTTTAAACTCTTAGGGCTATTTGCTGCTGAACCCTGGACCTCTTCAACCTGTAGCACTTGCGCATTCTGAACCAGCACAAGTTTAGGGACCAGTGTAAGAGCTGCTGGACTGCCTGCCTAACAGATCAGTTTCATTTTCAGTTTCTGAGGGCTGCCCAATGCGTCCTGATATTATGTACACACGGAATTATTGGGGGCCCCACTACTGGAGGTTAATCTGGACCCTAAAGTTTCACTCTTCACTTTGAGGTGAGTGGAAACATTGTGTCCATCTACAAAAGGGTTCAACTCCAATCTTTCACATACCTAAAATAAGCAGTCTCTTTGGATTACTTCCATTTATACAAGGGGAGAAAGTTAAGTACTGGAGCCAAGTAACTAGGAACGGCAGTGTGGTGTGGCTTGGTGAAAAGAGTCTGGATTAGGAATCGAGAAACTACGGTCAATGCAGGTGGACCTCAGCATCTTTATCATCCTCATTTATGGAAATGGAAGGAGAACTGAGTGGTGCTAAGACTGCCCAGCAACCCTTCCCTGCACTACATCCACAAAGTCCTTTACTAAGTTGCTCCAGGAAGACGGACTGGTTTCCACTCTGGGCCTTTGCACATGCTGCTCCTTCTACCACTGATGTCTCCTACGGATCTTCACATGACCTGCTCTTCTCATCACTGGTGTGCCTCCAATGTCAGCTCTTTGGAGTGACCTTCTCCTACCACCAAACTGGCAGCATCCTCCCCACAGAGTTTCTGTTCCATTAATCCATTAATCCATCTTATTTCTGCCATTGCATATGTCATATCCATCCTCCTTTATTTCACGTTATTTCATATATTTCTCCTTCCTGCTCCCCAAAACACGCACAAAAATGTTAGGAACAAGAGCCCAAGGGTCTTATGCCTAAAACAGTGCCTGGTGTTTCTGGGCCTGGTGTTTATTCATATTTATTGAATAAATGAATGAAAGGCTTTTGTGGGGGCAGAACAATAATGTGAAATATCTATTTGGGCTCCCACGTAAAGGGTACAGGTTTCACAGCAGTGCATGAGCAGGCTTTCTCTGAACTGCTGCTTTTATGACTCAGGCCTACCTTATATAAATGATTCATTCTCTCCTCGGTTCCTTCACCTCAAGGAAACGCCACAGTCCCAGGCACACTGAGATGGTTAGTCACCCTACCAGGGATGCAGAATTACAAAGCCTTGAAGGTAAGAGGCTTGCAGTTGCCTCTTGGAGATGGTAGCCCTTTCTCCCTGTCCCTTTCCCCTGATTCTGCAGATCACACTCCCTCCTTGAAGTCCCAATGAGCTGTGCAGTGGAAACATCCTCTTGACCTATGCTTGTGTACACACACATCTCAGAAAGAAAAGTGAGGAAAATGTCTGGATTTTAGTTCAAAAGAGCAAACAGCTAAATGTTTTCAAAAGATATACTGATTCCCTAAAACAGATTCAGCTAATATATGTATAATTTTTTTAATGCAAGCAGCCTTAATGTCCAACAGTTCAGAATAGTTTAATGAATTAGAATATATCTTCTTGGTAGCATATTCTGCAATTATTTTTTTAATAGTAATATGTAGCCACGTGGGAATCACATATAAAATGTTAAGTTTTTTTAAAATAGCATTTATGCTCTGGCTAAAATCATATAGGTTAGAATTAAAAAGGTATACAAGACTTGGATTATCATTCTGTTGAGATAATGAAATTGCTAGGGAATTCATTTTGATGCTTATTGACATTGGCATGTATGGTTTATGGAATGAGTAATCATTATGTAGCTTTAAATAAAGTTAATTTTCTTAAACAGAAGGAATGGCCATGGACCTCCAGGGGACATGGCATTAGCACTCTGCAGGTAAGTGTTGGCTCTTCCGAGCAGTGCAGAGGTGTGCTGCCATTCTCCAGCAAGTTTAGGTACCTGGCTAAGGATCCAGTACCTTCAGCTAAGCCACACGTCAGGAAATCTTGGCTCCCCTAAGACCATCACCCATTCTCCCCCTCTGACTTAAAAACGCCTTTCAATTGCTGGTCCTCCTGCAACTGTGACTCCCATCCTGGCATCCCCAGGGAAACATTCTCGAGGCTCCTGGAGGAAGAAAGGGGTGTCCAGCTTTTATATTCACCATTGAAACAGCCCAAACACATCCCCAGCCAGCCTCTAGTCAGTGTGGTTATTCTGACCCAGGCAAAGTGCGCAACAAATGGTATTTACTGTGCTTCCGAAGGCTCGAGGAAGTAGCAGTTCCTACTCTTCATCTCTTTCTATAGCCCGTGTTTAAATTCATGCAATATTAGAACTGAAAGAGCCTTCAAGATTATTATGCACTGTACAATTCACTGCTTTTCTCTAGGATCACTTAATCCCTGTCAGCAATAGCTCCTGCCAACCCCTTACCAATTTGATTTCTCAAAAGGAAACCCAAAAACCGTGTGCAGCTTCACTTATCACTTCTTTCCAAAGAAAACAGACTCCCTTCGGTATGGAGCTTGCTGGAGGCCTGACTTGCCTCTTTGGGCCCTTCTCCCTCCAGAATCCCATATACTATGCATCTGCGTTGCTCTTGGTCTCCCATCTCTCTGCCCGCAGTGGTGTTACACCAGCTTACACCATGCCTGCCTCACTTGACTACCCAGCTGCAGGCTAAATGCTTCTGCTAATTGCCCACTCCCACCCCCTCCAGGAAATCTTTACACCTCTTCTCTCTCAGGTGTTAAGTGCTCTTCCCTGAGTTTGTGGGTGCTATCATTGTTTCTTAGTCTATCTCCCCCAGAAGATTGTAGTCTTCTTAAGGACCAGATCTCTGCCGTTTTTTTCTTTCTCTGTATCCCCTTAACACATTGCCTGCTCAATAGGCTTATACAAATGTTGAATTCCAAGAGATGGTTCTATCGCCTACATTTTAGCAATAAAAAAACAAGAGGCTAGAGAGAGTGTGTGCTACTGCTGGGACTCAGAGTCTTAAGAAAGAGCTTTAGTTCACTTACTTAATTTTACACCTTTTTATTATGCAAATTTCCAAACATACAGAAAAGTTGAAAAGCTTCATTTCTTAAGATCACATTTCTCCCTTCTTGAGATCAAGCCAAGTAGTCTTAAAATTCCCCAACTCCTGGGTGGGACCAGCATATTCTGAACTCTAATTGCCTGAGGCAAAGGATAGGACCATGGCAGGATGGGTTTGGTCATTTGGCCGCCTTATGAGCATCGTTATACCTGCAGCTGGTCAGTCTCTCCTACTAGTAGACCTTGATTGTTTTAAAAAGTCTTCCTCTTCTACCATGTCATTTTGAACCTCAAAATGTAGGCTCAACGTAGGAGGAGGATGTATTCTAACCATTTCAGACATGGGGAAACCGAGGTTCAGGAGGGTTGGCTTGCCGATTCAGTTAGCATGGGACGGACCTGGTCTTGACTCTGTTTCCGCGCACTCATCACAGTCAACTGTGAAGGATTTGCCATTCAGTTTCGTCGTGACTCATCGGGTCCCTCAATTGTGAATTGTCATTCACAATGATCACATTTTACATGGTTTTCCAACAGTTGCCAGTGATGCACAGATCTACCCTGAAGTAAAACCAAAGTAGAAATAATGGACCTTGAGGCGAAGAACAATCAGCATAGGTCAGTAAGATGACCCAGTGAAATAACTCATGTTTTCACGAGGCATAGAGAGTGAAGGACACGTGGGTAAAATGAGAAGCCACTCTCCTTTTCCATCCAGGAGAGAAGTTATCACAGCAGAGTGAAATAAATGCCTGCCTATTTTATTTATTCTTTTCGTGTAGCTAAATCTATCAGTTTCCATGGTGCCCCATGCTCACCATGGAAACTCTGACAAGCTTGTTATGCTTTAGGGGAAAAAATAAAAAGACACCAAAAACCTGAGATGGGATAAATGCCTGCCTTTTAAAAATGTGTTCTTTTGAGGAGGAAGCCTTAATGGATAGCAAATCATAATGACGTCAATTTTCTAGTTCTTAAGTGCGAATGCAGGTTTGCATACCCATCAGAGGAGCAACATGGCCCTCCAAAATCGCTTTGTCTGTAGCAGTAGTTATGGCTGTGAGTATCTCACTTCTGCATTTACCAGCAACAGAGAAGGCTCAATCCTCATTTAGTTGATTTTTATGAGAATATAGTGCGAGTCCCTGTATATTTTCTTATGTTTGTTCATTCAACCAGTATTTATCAGAAAACTGAATCGTGGTGTGCACCATGCTAAGCACTGTGGATACTGTCCTACCCATATGCAACTTGCACAAATCTTCTCTCTTCCTTGGAGAGAATCCTTTCAGTCTAGGAGTAGGAAATAATAGTTTTCATAGTGTTACCATAACAGCTCCCGGATTGGTGAATAGCATGTTATCATATATCTATGTATCATATACTACATACCAAATTTTAAGTGATATAAATATAATAAAAGGCACTTTAAAGCTAAAGTGCACATCTGGAGACCAATGCAGAGGTGTATGATTTAACATCATTTGTTTTAAAGAAATGTCTGTTTTTATGTAGCTACTTTTTTTTACTTTTGTAAAATTGACATATGTTCATTTTTTAAAATGAATATTTTTTAAAATGCTCATACCTACTACTCAGATATATCACCAGTAGGACCCCTGAAGTTTTTTGGAAAAAAGTTCAAATATAAAAAGAGACAG